GGGGAATATGGGGGGAAGGGAGCAAAGGCTGGGGCACATGAGGTGCTTGGGATGGGGGTCGACTGTAGTTAGGAGTTGGGGGAGACGATTACAGTTGGAGATGTGATGTGCACATCTGGATAACAGCTAAACACAGTCATATCTGTGCCATCCAATCATGAGACCCCAGCAGAAGTCTGTTTCTAGGGCTTCAAATATTTGCTGATCAGCGCAGTCGTTTCCATGATGTATCTTTGAATCGAAAGTGTTTTAGGCACAAGATTTGACCCTAAACAACACGAGTAATCAGTACTCTAATATTGATGCCTTTGATTGCATAAATTAACCTTATCTGTTATCAATAGTCAGCTGTTGGTGATCAGAATTAGGTCATCGTCATCATTACACAACACAGACCAGCTTTGTGACCTTAAGAATCATTAACGGGCCGTGACGCAAGCAAAACATGTAAAGCCACAAACATTTTGGTGGTAAAATGGTTTTAAAAGTTTCATCCTAGCATTTTTTTTTGTCTGTTTAAAGAAATAATCTGTTATTTCTTCCCTTAATAAATGTTCTCCTCAAGGGCTTTTAACACACCTAATTATTTGAGGATGAATAACAAAATAGTTGAATCGACTTCTGTGGTGGAAAGTTATCAGCTGTGCCTGTGTGTTCATCATCTAACTGCCTTTTGTCACTCTACTTCTGCTGAATCTTCACTCCAGAAACTCCAAAATAACACAGCAGCATGTACATTAAGGTAAACAAAGACAGAGTGATGCTAATAACTATATTTTTGAGATTTAGCTGGCATAGGCTAATAAATCCTCACTGTATGCACAACTAGTGAGGGGCAACTGTGGACTTACAACTCTATAGGACAAGCTCCTAATAGCAAACGTAGGGTAGTCATGGCAACGGCGAAGCACAGAAGTATCAAGACAGTGCTTTTGTGTGTGAGTGAGTGTTGTCAGCACTTGGCAGAAACAAAATATCATGAACTCTGAATAGAAATAACACCACCTTGATATTTTTCTGGTGCAGTTTGGTGCAAATAAACTACACTGTTTTAGTCCACGTTATTGTTCTCATTCAACTTCAAAATGACAACATTATATTTTTGCAACTTAAAAGCACCGCACACCGACACAGTTGTTTTATTCTGGCTCATTAGACCCCTACTGCGGTTAAAGTTCGGCATGAAATAATAAAGGAACATTCATTCATTATTTTTTTATCTTTGTGTCATGCGAAATCACTTGGCCCATCCCACACGAGATTATGAAACATTATTTTTCAAATATCAAATTAGCATGATAAACTACTTAATTTCTAAAGAGTATCTTAATAAAGGGCTTTCTTCTCTTCTCCCAGGCTTTCTTCAGATAATTGGGTATTTTATAAGCTTCATATGTGAACATCCATCTCAGTGTTTGTGCATCTCCCATATTTAGAAAAGCTATTTTTATCTCACTAAACAAAGCATCGTCACAATGAAAAGGACAGTAGAAAACAAACTGGCACTGGTTCCCGCCCCCTAACTGGTGTAACAAAACTGGAGAGTGGAGGAGATGTCAGTCAAGCTCGCTCTGTGCACGCTCACTGCCTTGAAATCAGGCAGAAAGAAAGTGAGTGGTGGCATAATGCACCACAATGGTATAATGGTATAACACAGATGCACTTGACAGAGATGGCAAACTAGCTCAGCGACATGGCCAAGCGCAAGTATGACGCTGAATATATTAAACTGTGGGACCTTGACTAATGACTATGGAGAAATCTGGACTCCCTGGCTGGACCAGTTGGGAACCACTGGTCTTGATTACTGTAATGCCTACCAAAAATTACAGACCATTCAGAGTGCTGCTGCCAGGAGTTTAACAAAAACTAAAATGAGAGACCAAATAACTCCCATTTTACGTTACCTAAACTGGCTCCCAGTATCTTTTAGATAGATTGATTTTACAATCCCTCTATTGGTTTTAAAGGCTCTTAATGGCATCACCCCCTCCTATGTAATAGATTCCCTATCACCTTACGTTCCTCCACAAACCATGAGATCCTCTGCAGCTGCTCTTTTAACAGTTCCTAATGTCACTACAAAAACCTTTGGAAATGCTTCTTTTAGCAAATACACCCCAAAAATATGAAACACCCTGCTTTTAAATATTAGACTTGCTGGCTCAGTGGACAGTGTTAAATGACGATTCAAAACATATCTTTTTTAACATAGCCTATAACTAGCAGCTAACTGTTTTAACATTTTCAATATGCATTTTGGTTGGTTGATTAATTAATTAATGTATTTGTCTCATTTCTCCTTGAAAGAGTGTTGTATAATTGTATGGTTTTATTTCTTTGCTGTTTGTCTCTGCCGCTGAATTGTAAAGCACTGTGTGCTGCATTCTGTGCATGAAAGGTGCTATATAAATAAAGTTCATTCATTCATTCTCCAGTTATTCCATGCCTGCAATTCCTCACATGCCCACCAGTTGTCTGCACTATGTCCTCCCACCAACTTGTCAGTTGAGTACCTGCACCCCTGTGCTTTTTTTTTTTTCTTGCCATATTAGTGCTATATGAGCCTCTATTCCTTCAGACTATCTACAGTTCTGTTCTTCCTGCCTTTGCTCATAGGACTTTTTCATAGATGACATTTTGACATGTTAGAGCAGGAAAAGCAACAGATGTAAAAACAACAGAGATTAAAGGAATACTTCGTCCCCAAAATAACCATTAGTATATCAGTTACTCACCCTGTGTTACCTCCAATTTGTGGGGAAAAGTTTTTTGTATTTTTGTTTGTTTTTTTGCATGCTTCCGGTGAATGACGAAGCCAAAAACGGAAAAAATTCTTAAGGAAATGATGTCACAGATGACCATGTTTACAAGGTTAGCTTGAGGTTAGGTTAGTTTCACCAAAGTCCCACAATAACAGAGACAAACCCAACTGATTGAGGCAATGTCAAACCAGCAGCTCCCCTGTTCAGTGAGGTAAAATTACTATTTTTGTCAATAGAGTCTGGCTTTGAAGAGAGCATTGGTTGGTGCAAAGTTTCACTTTTAGTTCAGTTCCCTGTCAGAATGGGTCTGTTTGGGAAGTACTGAGCCTACGACTGGATAAATGAGACTTGACTTATACTGAACAGGTTGTGTGAGAGTGTGTAAACAAATGTTTTGATATAGATTTGATGTTGTGAAATGCAGACGTCCATGACTTTAATTTGTCAAGATTTTTTTTTAGTTTTTGGATTATTCGTTTATCAGAGGCACGCGAGAAAAATAAAGTCTTCAAACAAGAATTCCATGTGATGTGGTGTGTCTCGGCTGATGATGCCTGCATTTGGTTCAAAGCCTGTTAGATAGTAACACAATGTTGGTTAGTTGAAATGGTAGTTTAGAGACTTTAGGCTTAGTGTTCAGAGGCCCTCAAAATTATTAAATATGTCAGACAAAAGAACAACAGTTGATTAACTGTGGAATGAAGAAAAAGATTAAAAAGGATTCACAGAATGGACCCTTTTAATGTCATATAAGCAAGCAAAGCACAGGTGTAATCAGTAACATTAATCATGGCTGCATGACATTTAGGTGTGGTAATATGCATGCTGGTTTACTGGCATAGCTTACTGCCTAAATGGAAGTCATCCTTTATGTTACACCTGTGATGAGAATAACCCTACACAGATTCCCTCCAATAAAGAACATAATAATCATTTGCACGGTAGTAGTTAGTGTATGAGGCAGAGGGAATTCATTATTCATGTCATGTGTAGCTTTAATCCTCAGACTCTTATCCAAACTTGTGTAGAATTATTCAATAAAAGCTTATCAGAGAGGACAAAGAAATGCTAATGACCACAGTTCAGTATATGAAACACAAATCTGACTTTTACTGTCTGACAGTCTATTGTTTTCTTCCCTTGTATCTTTCCCTTTGTGTGTTTTCTTTTTATTTATTTATATATTTTTATACCATCAACTTTGATCTGTTTCTACTGAAACTGTTTCACCTTCAGAAGGGCTCCATAAATCTCTCTTGATCTCCCCGTGGATGAAAAAGCAGGTCCAGAATATGAATCAGCACCGGGCCAATACGGACTGTAGTCAGGCATAGCAGCATCTGAAACGTCTTTTATCTGTCTGCAGGAACATGTACATACACATACACACCAGAGGATGGTTTAGATTACAGGAAAAACATAGTCTGGTCTCTGCACTAACATCACTTCTTGAATGTTAATCTGCTGCAGAGGATGGTGATTTTAAGTGATACTGAGAAGGCAGACCTATTTCATCATGTCTGCACTATGGGCCATGGGCCACAATGGACTGACAGGCCCTTTATTCTTTTTCTTTTTTCTTGTGATTGCATTTCACAGTTTTTATGGTTTTAAAGTTTTTGTATTTCTGTAGAGTTTACAGAATGTGTTATTAATTCTTCATATTGTTGTAGATAGATAGATAGATAGATAGATAGATAGAAAGAGCTTTAATAACAACATTAACTTTACAAAATCTGATAAATAACAGAAGACATTTTAATTTAATTTACCAAGCTCACTTAAGACTGAAGACAGAGTCAAAAGTTACGCGAAAAAGCTCATAAAACCTAAAACATAACGTTAATCTCTCCATATTAAACTGAAAAAATGCACCAACGGTTAACCGTTAGCCGTTAACTGCCTAAAATACAAAGACTAAACGGTGGTGGTCGTTTAGTGTATATCGAATTATTATTCTAGTTAATCTGTAAAAATTTGACCTATAATGTGGTGTGAGATTCTGCTTAAAATATATATTAACAAATATACCGTACTAACTTGTAACACGGTTGCCACCTTGTGCCTGAAAGGGCCAACATACAGTCTAAAGTTATTTTTGCTCAGGCACTTTAGGTGTTCATGTACAAAACAACCGGGGCCCTGCGAAAACCTGTCCACATTACTGGGAAATGTAGTGTAAAGAGCCGTTATCTCCACTCTGTATGTAACGCTCAGTACTACGACTCCCACAAACCCTTGCTGGCGCTCGCTCGTGTGGAGCGATATGGCGTCTTCTTGAAGCGTACATACATCGCAAGTATTTTGTTGACAAGTGATTTAAGGTAAGTTTTAAACGTTATTAGTCACACATTTCACTGCAGTGTTTTATGTAGTGTAGACGTTTAACTCGAGTCAGGTTCAGGTGTTGCTTGTTTCGGCGGTTTATTGAAGATACTTAGCATTTTTGCTAAGTTGTTAGCTAGGAGCTAGCTTGTTCCAAATGATATGCATTGATTCTGCAGAGTGACTTGATCTTGTCTTGTTGTTCACGTCCCATATCACTAGTTAAGTTGACTTATTGTTAGTGGTGAACTTTGATATGTTAGTCTGTTAGTCTTATAATGTGCTTTAGATACTCGCAGGAGAATTACATTAAAGTGGTAAGGTAAAATAAAACCGTACAATCCAACGACGCATGGATAAGAGCTGACATGCATTTGTCATAAGCCAAACGTTTGTATTTGGAAGGCTGCAATGTGTTGACCGTTAACAGCATCCTCAGTGGACATTTGTCTTGCAGTCTGATAAAGCATGACACAAAAACATTAACAGAAAAATAAATAAATACTAGTCATACATGCTAAATTATGTAAAACATGATCAAACTCACAACACAAGCAATTACTGTCAAAGAATACTGTAGTTGGTGCATGGTTAGTGACCATTGTTTGTTACACTTTTTGGCTTATTATGAAGTTTTGACTGGAAATCAGTTAATACCCTAGTTACTCTGAGGTAGATTATAACCACTGGGATATTTCCTTGTAACAACCTGCTGTTTTTGGCTGAAAAGGTAATAAGTATACCATTTAAAAAAGTACAAAAATGTAATTTTTTTTATCCTCTGATTTTTTTGAGTCTGTGCTCAAATAAACTTAAACTTGTATAAATTAAATATCCAGTATGCTTTTACAAGTTACCTGAACCTCACATACATTTAGTGCATCTTAGTTTTATGTTCTGCAGGTAATCTGTGTGTTTATCTGTTGTAGAACTTGTTTTGTGTTTTCTAGCTATCATTTCAGCTCTGCCTTTTTTGTTGTATTAACTTAAGAGTTTGATGAAGTTGGAGCATAAACAAAATTAATGTTGCATTTGGGATGCTTAGCAATATAGTGAATATGATTGGTGGACTACAACAAAGAAGTTCTATGCTGTTGAATAAACAGACACCAACTACTATATTGCATTATGCATGACCTGAATTATCTGTTAAAGGTTTACTCAAAAATTACCTTGTGAGTAAATACCTTACAGTGCTGAATACCGTAAGAGCGTAACTGTGAGCTAGTCATTAATTCATGTCCCCTTAAAATGAATAAAGTACAGTTCATTATTAAGACCTACCCAAGCAAATGTCAAATAACTGTTTTTAAGAGTAACAATGTGCTGTTTTTGGATTTGCAGATGGCAGCCGACTCCACAGACAAGAAGGATGCCGAATCCTCAGGGACCAAAGACAGAGAGAGGAAACGTAGCCGTTCACGAGAACGAGATCGTAAAGGCTCACCTTCTCGCAAAAGCCGTCGTTCTCGTGAACGAAATCGCTCAAAGTCTCCAGATAGGTAACTGAAATGCACCACAAATCTAGATTTAAATTCTTTTGTTATAATATCTACATTTTTATGTACGTAGAATTTATTTTGTTTAATTTATTTTGCACTTTACTTAAGTTTGTTTGATATTGACAAAAAACAACAAAAAAACCCATTTGTATCCGATTTTTATTCAAATGACAGAGAACGACGCAAAGACAAGGACAGAGACAAGGAGCGTGACAGAGATAAGGACAGAGAGAGAGGCCGTAAGGACAGAGACAGCCATCGACGTGATAAAGATCGCAGCAAAAGGTCCAGGTATGTGAACGCTGAAATACACAGCTTTGTGAGATGGAGAAATATCACATGTTAACATTAATACACTTTCTCAGAGCCAAACAAAAACTATGCTTTGCCCATTACTCTAAAGATTATTTATTCTGCGTTCAAGTCAAAGAGTTGTTGTGATTAACAGTTTCCAACTTGTAAACAACATTCAAGCCAACGTCCAAGTTGTAATTGTGACTAAGAAACTGACAGCTCCAACGTATCTGACCTGGCACTTTATGTTCCAGAGCTGTTCAACTGTATCCATGTTATTTTTTTGTATTTAAGAAAGTGCCAGTTAAAATAAGATGTTTCTTTTTCTGGCTCCTTTGGGTTATTGGACGTGTAAGAGTGGGTTAGATTACAGTGAACATTTTGTTTTGGAATCATACATTGAAATGACTGAATGTTTGTAATTTTGAAAGCGGTTGATCACACCTGTGTAAATTCACTTTCCTTTGTAGAAGTCTTTCTCCTAAGTCGAAAGACACCAAATTAAAGAGAGAAAGGGATATAAAAACAGAAGAGGAGGAAGATGAAAAGAAGAAGAAAGAGAAGGTAAAAATCTGGTTTTCCTGAATCTTTCATACCATTACATCGTTTCTGAAGTCGTTATTCTGGGCGTTAAAAACATGTTGCTTCTGTTCAGGTCCAGCCTTTATCTTTGGAAGAGCTTCTCGCCAAGAAGAAGGCAGAAGAGGAGGCAGAGGCGAAGGTGAGAAGCTTCCTGAGGTTCTCATTTATCTTTTTCTTCTTAAACCAAAGGTTATTTTTTCATGACTTCTGTTTTTGTTTTGTTCTTTTCAGCCCAAGTTCCTCTCCAAGGCAGAGCGAGAAGCTGAGGCTCTGAAACGGAGGGAGTTACAGACGGAGGAAAGGAGGAAGATGCTGGAAGATGAGAGAAAGAAGAGAAGGGTATTCCAGGACATGGGCAGAAAAATGTTGGGTGTGTATCAGCCTCTGGTTTATTCAGTTCTGCATGCTGTTTACAGAAGCATCAATGATTGTTAACTAAGAATATGTGTTTACAGAGGACCCTCAGGAACGTGAAAGGCGAGAACGAAGAGAGCGAATGGAGCGAGAGAACAACGGGAATGAAGACGATGACGGACGACAAAAGCTGAGAGAGGAGAAAGATAAAAGCAAAGAACTTCAAGCCATCAAGGTTGGTCTTTAGAGAAACTGTAGCACAGATGAAAAGCTGTATTTGTAAATATAAATTTGATTTGTATTGAGTCTGAAGCCCTGTTCAGTCTGGGTATATGTTTCTAGGGGAGGTGCTGCTGTGTGTAGCTGACCTTTGAACTTTTATTTTCTAGGAGCTTTCCTAGCATGATCAAATTATGTATTAAAATTCAATATCTGAATGATGTAATTTACTAAATTTAATATCTCATCTTTACAGGAGCGTTACCTGGGTGGGCTGAAGAAGCGCCGGAGAACTCGTCATCTGAACGACAGGAAGTTTGTGTTTGAGTGGGACGCCTCTGAAGACACCTCAGTCGACTACAACCCGATGTGAGTAAACACGAAAGCACCGTCTCACTAACCCTCTTAAACTGAAGCAGCTCTTTTGTTTAGTTTTGAGTGTGTACCAGTCTGAACAACATGATGTTCCCAATCTGTGTCCCAGTTACAAAGAAAAGCACCATGTGCAGCTGTACGGACGAGGCTTCATCGCTGGCATCGACTTGAAGCAGCAGAAAAGAGAGCAGTCACGTTTCTATGGTGACCTGATGGAGAAACGGCGGACGCTAGAAGAAAAGGAGCAGGAAGAGTGAGTAAAACAGATAATCTGCTCTGTTTGTGGCTTTAAGGAGCCACAAGAGAAACTCAAAGTTTTGAAGCCTAATCCAAAAAATTAGGACAAGTGTATATTAAATAAAACTGACTGGAAGGTAGAAAATTACCCTCAACATGTGTTTATAAGACACACAAAGTATACACAGTTTGTAGTGCTTCAACAACTTCATGATGATATCTTTACTGTCTCTTCCACTCAGGACGAGACTGAAGAAGATGCGTAAGAAGGAGGCGAAGCAGCGCTGGGACGACAGACACTGGTCTCAGAAGAAGCTGGACGAGATGACGGACAGAGACTGGAGAATCTTCAGAGAGGACTACAGCATCACCACCAAGGGAGGAAAGATCCCGAACCCCATCAGGAACTGGAAGGAGTATTCGCTGCCTGCACACATCCTGGAGGTCATCGACAAGTGTGGCTACAAGGTCGGCACCCTGAGTCTCCACGTCGAAGCTTTCATGAGAGGAATATGACTTTCTGTAACTTTGATAAGAAGATAAAGCTGTTACTTAAGTTTCAGTTTTTATTTTCTTCTAATTGTCCTACAAACTGATATCTCCTCACTGTGTTTCACTGTCTTTGGACCAAAGTAAATTTAATGACTAATTATGACTTTCCCTCTTTAAAATCCAGGATCCAACACCTATTCAGAGGCAGGCCATTCCTATTGGTCTACAGAACCGTGACATCATTGGTGTGGCTGAGACAGGTAGCGGTAAAACAGCTGCTTTCCTGATTCCACTGCTCGTTTGGATCACCACCCTGCCAAAGATCGACAGGTAACACAGTCCAGCCTCAAATAGTATCAAGTAAACTCAAAAATAATTTCTTCATTTTTACTGAGAGAACCATCTACTAACCGCCATTGTTTTTTTACAGGATTGAAGATTCAGATCAGGGTCCCTATGCTGTGATTCTGGCCCCAACTCGTGAGTTAGCACAGCAGATCGAGGAGGAGACCATAAAGTTCGGTAAACCGCTCGGTATCCGAACAGTGGCTGTGATTGGAGGAATCTCCAGAGAGGACCAGGGCTTCCGTCTCAGGATGGGCTGTGAGGTGAAACATTCAGAAATTTAAATCTTTTGTTTCTTTTGGAGAAGCAGAAGAGCCTCTGAAACAGTCACTAGATAATCTAAGTGTCTAAAGATAGCAGCAAATGTCACTAAAGTCTGTTCTCTCCTTAAATAATTAGTCTTGATTCATTTTCTTTGTAAAAAAATGTGGAAAAAGTTCTTCATTATACTCTTAAACTCTAAGCCATATATCTGCCTCACTTTAACGCAAACACTGAGAGATGCCGCAGTGGAGACAGAGAAGTGAAGATAACTTGTGCCTGGACTCAACATGTAGTGACTCTGCTAAAAGCCTGTTAATCAAGGGAGTAAAAACGGGATAAAACAGCCCAGGGTTCAAGGGGGTTTTGTTGGCTTAACTTTTAACAAAAAAAACATATATTAAAATATTAGCCACAGTAAACACACAGACTGTAACGATGCTTCGTACACAGAACACACACACATATTCACCAGCTGTGTGCCTTTCCTGTTTTAACAGATTGTGATCGCCACCCCCGGTCGTCTGATCGACGTGCTGGAGAACAGGTACCTGGTCCTGGGCCGCTGCACATACGTCGTCCTGGATGAGGCTGATCGTATGATTGACATGGGCTTCGAGCCCGACGTCCAGAAAATTCTGGAGTACATCCCAGTGACGAATCAGAAGCCAGACACAGACGAAGCAGAGGACCCTGAGAAAATGATGATGAACTTTGAATCTGGGAAACATAAATACAGACAAGTATGTTTATCTGCAGACATCATTTATAGACATCATTACTGAGGAGGCTCCAGCTGCTCTCTCTGTTTATTTGTGTTATTAAGCTTTGTTTTTCTGTTCCAGACGGTCATGTTCACAGCCACTATGCCTCCAGCTGTGGAGAGACTGGCCAGGAGCTACTTGAGACGTCCTGCTGTGGTGTACATCGGGTCTGCCGGCAAACCTCACGAGAGAGTGGAACAGAAGGTGTTGCTGATGTCAGAGGGAGAGAAGAGGTGAGACAGACACAAACATATGTGACTGTAAACATGGTACATATAATTTATCTCTGTCAAGGTGTCTCACTGAGTGGTTTTGGATTGTGTGTGGTGCAGGAAGAAGCTGCTGGAGGTGTTGTCACATGGCTTCGAGCCTCCCATCATCATCTTCGTCAACCAGAAGAAGGGATGCGACGTGCTGGCAAAGTCTCTGGAGAAGATGGGGGTAAGTCGCTGTAGACTGCACCAGTGGTCCAAAACATTCTTCAAAGCACCTGAAGACTTTTTTTGCCCCTACTCCTTACTTTAAGTGCCCCTTTGCCCCTTAGAGCAGAATTAGAAGAGGTAGTGGTTGAAATCTTCTACTATAAAATCCGCCGTTGGTAGTCTTGAATGGTGCTTACGTAAACAGACGCAACTATGGCGATAATAGTATTTTCACAATGACATTTGGCATTTATCTGATGGAGACAGAAAAGCAGCAGGCACCCCACATACAGAAGCTACACCCTTGCCCCAGTGACCACAGGCTTGAATCCAACCTGCAGCCCATACTACCACTGTGCCATCAAATAAAGGCCAAAAGGCCCCTAAGAAATCTTAAAGAAAAGCTGGATTTCTTCCTAAAGTACAAAAAAAATAAAACAAAGTTTAACTTCTGTTGTTGTCTTCATCACGCAGTACAATGCTTGCACGCTGCACGGTGGCAAAGGCCAGGAACAGAGAGAGTTTGCACTCTCCAACCTCAAGGCAGGAGCCAAAGATATCCTGGTGGCCACAGACGTTGCTGGTCGTGGTATCGATATCCAAGAAGTCTCCATGGTGCTTAACTACGACATGGCGAAGAACATTGAAGGTAAGAATCCTCATTCTCACTTTTTGTTTTCTCTTTATTACCTTAATTTTTCTTTTACCTTCAACATTGAACTTGATATTTATTTTGTGAAAACAGTTGTGTAGAATTCATACACATGAATAAAAGTATTCACTAAGCTATCTTTGTGTTCTCCTCTTGCAGACTACATCCATCGTATTGGTCGTACGGGTCGTGCTGGTAAGAGTGGTGTCGCCATGACCTTCCTCACCAAAGAGGACTCGGCGGTGTTCTACGACCTGAAGCAGGCCATCCTGGAGAGTCCCGTCTCCACCTGCCCTCCAGAGCTGGCCAACCACCCGGACGCTGCGCACAAACCTGGAACCATCCTGACCAAGAAGAGACGCGAGGAGACCATCTTTGCCTAAAACTGGACCTTATATTCAGAACACAAACACACATCAGGGTCTCAGACTGTTTCACCGTGTTGTATAATTCATGTTTTTGGTCTCTAGGTAATTTACACCCATTTCTTTTGTTCCCTTTCCACCTTACCTCTGTCACTGTCTGTTTTTGTCTTTTCACCCAGTCTGTTGTTGTTACCAGGTGCAGAAATAACCACAGCATCAATTTTGAGATTTTAAGGCTCAACCGTGGGCCATTTGTCATCAATGTGCGCAGGTTTTTACTCACAGACGTATAAATTTGGACTCAGTGTGAAATGTTTTGCTTCTATAAACAAGAAGTGATGCTATAACTGATCTGCACTGTATAAAGGCTACTCTTCAGATATCAAATGTGATAATTAGCAGCCAGGATGTGAGTGTAGACGAGTAGTTATTACTGTGTTTCATTCATTTTCTGTTAGTTTGAGTTTCCTGACTGTTTAAGAGACCAATGCCAGAGGTGACAGCCATTTTCTTTTTGCTTTAGACACATCCTCTGACTACGTTGAAATCCATCATTTTAAATATAAACATTTGTAATGAAGTGAAATACAGAAAATTTGAGTGATGTCTGACTCATAATTGTTTTAAAAAATGTATGAAAGAGATATTTATCTGTCACAAGGGTTTTTTTAGATTTTAAACAATCGTGCTGTGCTCAGTGGATAAACTGACTGACTTTTTTAAGGGTTAGTTTGAACTCAGCAAAGTCACACAACACACACTACTGATACTACCTAGTTCAATGAGGTGAAAATTACGGTTTGGCTTCGAAGAGAGCACAGATGAGTTTCGTTTTTAGTTCAGTTCCCCTCTGAAAATTCTGTTTGGTAAAGTACAGAGCATATGACTGGGTAAATGAGAAGTGAATTATACCGCACAAGCGGTGTGAGAGTTTGTAAACAGATGTTTTAATGTAGTTGTGATGTTAAACATGTCCTTTGACTTAAATGTATTAAGAATTTTCTCAGTTTTTGGATTCTTCATTCACTGTGGAAGCATGAGAGAAAAACAAAGTTTGCTTCATGAATTCAACCCAACACAACATGAGTAATATTAAACATACGATGTTTTGAGGGGTTGAAGTATTCCTTTAACTTTAATTTTGGCTTATATTGCCATGAACATTAAATGAAATGAGGGGAGTGAGGAGAGATGTTAGCATAATGAAAAGCACCCAGAGTCTAGGAAATATACACTCACCAGCCACTTCATTAGGTACACCTTGCTAGTACAGGGTTGGACCCCCTTTTACTTTCAGAACTGCCTTAGTCCTTGGTTTCATAGCTTCAACAAGGTGCTGGAAACATTCCTCAGAGATTTTGGTCCATACTAACATGATAGCATCACACAGTTGCTGCAGATTTGTCAGCTGCATCCATAACGCACATCTCCCATTCCACCATATTCCAAAGGTCTATTGGATTGAGATATGGTGCAAAATTCTGACCCCACCATCTGAATTTTACAGCAGAAATCGAGACTCCTCAGACCAGGCATCTGACAGGAGTGGCACCCGGTGTGGGCTTCAGCTGCTGTAGCCCATCTGCTTCAAGGTTCTACGTGTTGTTGGTTCAGAGATGGTCTTCTGCAGACCTTGGTTGTAGCGAGTGATTATTTGAGTTACTGTTGCCTTTCTATCATCTTGAACCAGTCTGATCATTCTCCTCTGACCTCTGGCATCAAATGCTCACTGGATATTTTCTCTTCTTTGGACCATCCTCTGTAAACCCTAGAAATGGTTGTGTGTGAAAATCCCAGTAGATCAGCAGTTTCTGAACTACTCAGACCAGCCCGTCTGGCACCAACAACCATGCCACGTTCAAAGTCACTTAAATCACCTTTCTTCTTCATTCTGATGCTCAGTCTGAACTTCAGCAGGTTGTCTTGGCCATGTCTACATGCCTAAATGCATTGATTTGCTGCCACATGATTGGCTGATTAGCTATTTGCATTAACATGCAGTTGAACAGATGTACCTAATAAAGTGGCCAGTGAGTGTATGTCTGTAGAAAGGTTCACAGCACTGCTAGAGTATATTTAATAATGAGTGTATTATTATGAAACAACAAAAAAAGCACCCAAACAATTAAAAGTACATAAAATGTCATGTTTATTTTGTTTTAAGTCATATTTCACTTAGCATTGTAAATCTATTTTCAAATAGAAAGCATTCTATACAGCATCAGGCAGGAAATGTCTCACTTTTTACACATTTGCTGTCTCTTTTTGATAAATAGAGGGAAGAGGCGTGTTGGGTCACGCTAGCACGCTGTGGTAGTCTGGTGGATACACGGTTATATTTAGTGCAGTTATTGCATTACAAAGCAACCATCCCAAAAAAAAGTAGTGCAATTTTTTTTTTCATCTACTCACACAAAAAAGAGGAAGTCCAGATGGTCTAAGGCGTTTAAAGTTTTTCAATGTTAGGCTTAGTATTGCATACAGAATAAGACAGAGGAAACTAAATTATAACCCTTTGTAAAAATTGTGCTTCATAAATTGAAAAACCTCAACTGCTTTATCAGTTGCTGAATTGGTCCGCTTTGAAAAACATACTCTGCCAAAATATGATGACAATAGCTAATTGGTGAACTAAAGCATGCAGGGCTTTAATAATAATAATAATTCACTCATTCATTTTATCACAAATTAACAAAAATTGTAGGCCTGATCTGGGACCGGGACAATTTTTAAAGTGAGTGACTTTTTAAAAGTGCCAGTGTCCACCCGATACTGTGGAGAAGAAAACAAATGTCCCCAATATTAATGTTTGTGGATAAATAAAGTGATGCATTCTGATTTTTTTTTTTTAGTAATAGTGTTGTTAGTGGTGTGAGGAGTGAGTAGCCCCAAAGACAAGACTATCACTACAAGACAACGAGGAGAATCAGAATCAATGCATTACTGAAATACTTAACTGTAAAAAGAAACAATCAGATTTCATGCAACACTTGCATAGATTTTTTTTTTTTTTTTCAATCATGCTGATTTTTTTTTTTTGTCTTCAAAATATACAGAACACTAGATAGAGATACCTGTGAGACATGGAAGCAGTAAACCAGTAACTCCTAAAGCCAGCTGTCAACAGTGTCGACCCCCCCGCCCGCCCTCCTTCTCTCTGCTCGTGAAGCGGGTCACTGCTCGTCAGCATCACGTCCAACTTCATCATCGGCTCATGGACTAATAATGGTGCAGGAACAGAATGACATCGTGTCACGGGTGCTACGAGTCCTTCAGGAGCACGACACATTCGTGGGAGCTGAGCGCGACGATGAGTGTGTAGGACTTACACCTGAGGATCTGCTTTGATAATCAAACTGCAGTACGTAACGCAACGTTATGTGGCAAAGACACACAGGGAGGGGGTAGGAGGAGTGAGATAAGTGTAGAAACTGTGGATGCTACAATCAATAACGTGCTACAATCGAATTACAGGGCGATCGGTTGGGTTTTTTGGAGACACCGGGTGGTGCTGGAGGTGCAAAAAGGCATGCAAGCTTTACATTCTCTGAAGATCTGAAGAGGAGCTGCAGCGTGTCGCAGCGTGTGCTTGATAATATGTGAATGATTCAATGTAAACAAGCAAGTTTGGCAAATAATTCACCCTTTGAAAGATAACATTCCCTTTTCTTAGTTGTGTTTACATTCTCTGTGCGCGTTTTTTAGATTTTTTTTTAAACCGTAGAGGTGTTAAGAGTGATTGTGCAACAGCAAAGACGGGTGATGCCCAGAATGCACTGTACTGTAGGTGACACTGACGCTGTACTGCAGCTTCTTAACTGAAACTGAACAAAAACTTAAACGCAACACTTGTTTTGACTCCCATTTTTCACAGATTTAAAAGTGCAGTGTGTAACATTTAAGGGGATTTAGTGGCATTTCGCTGTGGCTGAAACATCTCCCAGTTAGGATTCCTTCAGTGTTCTTTGTGCAGGAGGTTTTCACCAGAAGCTGAATTATCAGCAGAGGTCTCTTCCTCTCAAAAACAAACAGACCAGGTGATTAAAACTGGTAAAACGACTAAATAACCCAATCTTGGGGCGGCAGCAGCTCAGTTGATAGGGACCTGGGTTGGGAACCAGAGGGTCATTGGTTCAAGTCCCTATCCAGAGAGGTGCCAGTCACCTCCTGAGCACTGCCGGTGCCCTTGAACAAAGCACCAAATCCCCAACTGCTCAAGACGCCTGTCCATAGGCAGCCCCCTCGCTCTGACATCTCGACATTTAATGCATGTATAGGTCCTGTTTGTGCGTGTATTTGTGTGTGTGTATTTCAGGCCTGGATGTATGTGAGTGAAAAAAAACTTAATTCCTCTCAAAGCAGCTTCATGTTAAAGTCGTGTTTTTGGCATGTCACAGACAGGGCACTAGCCCAGCACCTGCTAATGAGTGCTCACCTGTTTTCTCTAATAACTTAAGATCCAGACTTTCAGAGGCCAAATTGTCGACAAAGGTCTCTCCAAAACAAACAAACCTGGTGTTTTAAACTGATAATACACTAAATAAAGGAATTTTACATTGAAAAAATCTGCCCTGTTCCCGACACGCTCTTCGTTGTTAACTACAGTGGCTGACGTGAAAACACAAATGGCCTTATTTTAGAGCCAGTGTTTAGTTTGTCTGTTCTGGGCCTCTGTAGTAACATGGTGGACTTTGTGGATGAGGACCCTCTCCATATGTAGATACTAACGGTTCATTCTAAGGTAACAACAAACTCAACTATTCTTATTTTCAGGTGATTATACACCGTACATTCCATTCTGCCAATACACCCCTCTCAATCCTGCACACTGGAACTTTAAGTTAAAGATATAAGACTTTTTTATGCACACAACAGACTAATTTATCTCAAATTCTGGTTGCAAATTTGTTAAAGTCAGTGTTAGTGAAGACCTCACTTTTCCCAAGAAACTCTATCCACCTGACAGGTGTGGCATATCGAGATGCTGATTAAACAGCATCATTACTATGCAGGCGTGCCTCAGGCTGGTCACAATAAAAGGCCACTCTAAAGTGTGTAGTTTGATCACACAACACAGTCCAGCGACACAATTTCCAGTTTCTTTTCTGTGACTTTGGCAGTACATCCAACCATCCTCACAGCCTTGATGAGTGCCATCAGCAGCATGGAACACACCTGCACCTGGCGTATCCCATGCACGTAAAAGACAGAACAGTGGTCAGACCTGGTGTCATCAGACCTTCGGAACATGCCTCTGTTTTGTGTGTGTGTTTCAGGGAGTGTCATCCTCTCCCTACACTACTGACTCTGGTGCATCAGCACTACATGTCCAGAGTTTGTAGTAAACCTTGCAAGTTGCAAAAAGCACGACAGGGAGACACTTTTGGACGGGTATAAGCTGCTTTCAATAAGTATTGTCGATGTTCTGGTTCTGACACTGGAGGTTTCTGTGGGTTTTGGATTTATGAACTTCTGTTTTTCCACCAGATCGGAGGTGTTCTGGTGATTTTTTTTGTGGCAAGGACATGCTGTCCATAGCACATTTAATATTGTGTTTTGGAGCTTATACCCTGGCTATGCAACTAGAGTGGGCTTCCTTTGGAATTTATCCGCGGGGTTGTTCATGTGGTGGCAAACATGGCTAAGGTAGTTGTCTCGGTGGCACGTTTGAAGCTGCAGGAGGGTTGCCAATTGCCATGACACCATCATTTGCCACATGCAGCATGGCACATCTCCTTTACATTGAGCTGATCAGGTTGTTGATTGTGGTTTGTGGAATGTTGGCCCACTCCTCTTCAATGGCTGTGCAAAGTGGCTGTATATTGGCAGGAATTGGAAAACACTGTTGTACACGCCAGTCCAGAGCATCCCAAACATGCTCAATGGGCGACAGGTCTGGTGAGGATGCAGGCCATGCAAGAACTGGGATCTTTTTAGCTTCCAAGAAATCTGTATAGACCTTAAATCTGTATAGACCTTAAATCTGTATAGACCTTAGGTCTCAGAATCTCGTCAATGTATCTCCATGCATTCACACTCCTCGTACCATAACCCCACCACCACCATGGGGTACTCTGATCACACAATTGACACTAGCAATCCGCTTGACCACACAGCTTTAGACGCAGCGTCTAATATTTGCCCGATATAGTGTAAACTGGGATTCATCTGTGAAGAGAACCCTTCTCCACAGTGCCAGACGCCATCAAAGGTGAGCAGTTGCCCACTCAAGTCGGTTATGACGACTAAGTGCTGTCAAGTCAAGACCCTGATGAGGACGACGAGCACGCAGTTGAGCGTCCCTGAGACGGTTTCTGACGGTTTGTGCAGAAATTCTTCAGTTGTGCAAACCCATTGTTGCATCAGCTGTTGGTGGCTGGTCTCAGACTATCTCGTAAAGTGAAGACACTGGATGTGGAGGTCCTGAGCTGGTGAGGTTACACGTGCTCTGCAGTTGTTGGCTGGTTGGATGTACTGCCAAATTTACAGCCTTGGAGACGGCTTATGGTAGTGAAACGAAGATTTAATTTACCAGCAACAGCTCTGGTGGACATTCCCGCAGTCAGCATGCCATTGGCGTGTAGGTGTGACCCTACCATGACACACTTGTGTAGTAATGATGCTGTTTGATCAGCATCTTGACATGCCACACCTGTTAGGCGGATGATTTGTCATGGAGAAGAAGTAGTCCTCGCTAACACGGATTTTAACAAACTTGCGACCAAAATTTGAGAGAATTATATCTTCTGAGCGCATAAAAAAAGTCTTAGATCTTTACTTAAACTTGTGAAAAATGGGAATAAAGGCAAAAGTGTTGCTTTTAAATTTTCGTTCAGTGTACATTGTGACCGTTAAGAGACTATTAAGTGTGTGTGTAGGTGTGTGTGTCTCCATTCACCGTCTTCAGAGTAAAAACTGACTGAACACATGGGTGGCAACATTTCTCTGAAACAACGAACAAGTCCATATTAAACATAATCAAACAAATATAGTAGCAATGAAACAAAACCAGGTGCCCATTCAGTATATACATTGTAATCAAATGCATTACTATTCCCCATAAGTGGATTCAACAGTAGACATTCCTACATTAGTTTATCCGTAAGGTTCATTCAGTTCCTGTTCTGACGTCAATGTGCAAATAGTCTTAAAATAATTATACTCATACATGCAATAGTAAAGATAGTTAAAAGTCTTAGGAATTTTAAGGCCAGTATATGAGACATCCTACAATAGAGAAACCTTAGGCAAAGCAGCTAAAGTTTGAGTTTGCGTACAGCTGGTAGCCTGAAACCTTTCCATTGCAGAGTTGAGTAGCCCTGTTGACTTTAATCTGAATCACGTGACCCTGGAGAGGTCAGTGCAATCCCCGAAAGATAAATTAAAACTGGGAGTCTGGAAGAGAGCGACTGTTAATACTTTAAAAATAGACCTAAAGATGTCTACTTTATAAACTGGGCATCTGATTTTGGGGCAAGTGTTTCATCTGTAAATCGTTTGTTTGGGAACGTACGACAGTCGTAGGGCTCGGTGCTGATCTGGAGGCCGTGTGGGTGGGAGGGGGGGCTTGTTCCTCAGTAGGTGTCTCGGGGCCAGGGGCGGCTGCGCTGGCGGTTGTTCCTCTGGTTGTGGCCTTGCTGAGCTTCGCGTTGGAGCAGCCTGTCCTGTGACTCGTGCCCGTTGGCACTGTGGGCACTGCCGGTGTGCCCACGGTGAGGGGGGTACATGTCCCTGTATGTGCGAGCATGGCAGGGGGAGGCATACTCATCCTCCTCCTCCTCTTCCTCCTCCTCTTCCTCTTCTTCCTCCTCTTCGTCCTCCTCACCCCCCCTGTGGCACGGGCTCCCCCTCCGGCCGCGAGACAGGGAGTCGCTGGCCTCGTCAGACGGCATAAGACTGTCCTGCTCCAGGGGGGAGTGGGCCTCCTCACCTGCCTCCTCCTCCTCCTCACCCTCCAGGCCCACCGCCTCACGAGGCTGCGGCTGGTTCTTGTTCTGGTTCTGGAGGATCGAGTTGTCACGGACAGGAATAAAAAGAAAGAATGAGAGTCAAAAGAAAGTTCTGAAACTGAAAGTAGCCTCACACTTTCTGGTAACAGTTTCCATTGACAGCAAACACACAGAGGGTCAACAAAATAATGCAAACACTACATCAAGAAGGACTTTGAAGGAAAGGTTCAGATCCATCTTAAAGCAACACTCAACATGCCAGCACGTACACTGAAAAGTTACTGGTTGCTGCACTTGTTCCTTCTGTCCACACCGGCTGCATCCTTTCCAAAAGGGTTCATAAAGTTCAGCTGAAGCTAACATGAGGCTTCAGCAGACAACCAGTTGCTCACCCTGTAGTGCAGGTGTCCCACGTACAAAGGCTATGTCATTGCCGCAGCAGCTGCAGATTCCAATCCAACCTGTAGCCTTTTGCTGCATGTAATCCTCCCTCTATCTCCCCCTTTCCCACTTAACAACTGTCCTTTAAAATAAAGGCATAAGCCACCAACAGAGTGAGCTTCCTTGCTGAGCTGCAGCGAAGAAATATTTACATAAATATTTAATTTTATCATTATTTTTATGATTTTTTTTTTTTTTTACCATCTCTTACATTACACTTTAGGAAAGGATCCCTTTACACCCAAAACAACCAGTAGGAACAATTACAGCAACCAGTAACTGTTTCATCCTGTGGGCATGTCAGTGTTGTTTCAAGACAGACTTGGGGAAAAAATTAAACAAATCCTAAGTAACTGTGAGAATTACAAACACTGCAACAAAAAAACACCTATGATGCCAATTAGCAGCATTTGTCAGCTATAAACAGATCTGAGATACCAGCACTTGGTATTAAATTACAAAAAGAATCGAAGCTCTCTTTATTTTATTAGTGATTATTAATAAAATTAAAGGCAGCTGTGATTCCAGTCAACGGGTACTCCTTATAATGCAGTTTATAGATTTTATGGTAACCAGCACCTGTGTGCACATACTCTGACTACACTACTCTAACTTACAGTATAAGAAACATAGGCTAAAAAATATTCAAAGAACAGTTCATCCCAAAATCAATAATACATATTTTTCCTCCTCCCTGTAGTGCTGTTTATCAGTCTAGATTGTTTTGGCGTGAGTTGCCGAGTTGGAGATATCAGCTGTGAAGACATCTGCCTTCTTTCCAATATAATGGAACTAGATGGCACTCGGCCTTGGTGCAAAGTGCCAAAAGAATACATTTGAAAAACTCAACAACAATGTCTCTTTCCAGAAATCATGACATGGATTCATGTAGGGACTATTTTTTTTACGAACTACACCCGCAAACCATATCACCACACAGAAGGAAGCGTGCATCTGCTGCTAGTTCACCTAGCACCACTGAGCTAGCTAAGCTGAGACGGATGGTTGGAGGGTGTACTTCTGTAGAAAGAAAATAGTTCCTACATGACAACTGCTCTCAACAAGGTCTATGGATTATCTTGATTAACTGGGTCATGATTTCTGGAAAGAGACATTGCTGCTGAGTTTTTCAACTGTACTTTTTGGCCTTTCAAGAATGAGGTAGTAATGTGCTCCAGGACTGTCTTTTTGATATGAGACTCAAGAAAAAACGCAGGTGCTCTTTAAGACAAGGGTCAGCACATGGGAAGAAAAAAACAAACTTCATGCACACATATGTAATTTTTGTCTTTTTTTTTCCTGAGCACTTGTGGAGACGTGTGACCCTAAAAATGATTGGGTGACACATCCTACTGAGTTTATAAAATGTTTGCTTGACTCCTGTCCACCCTTTTGCACCCTGATGAAGACCTTAGGTTTGAAACCAGTCTGTGTTTTCATGTAGGCAGCCACATTTTTTGGATAAAGACTTTTAAACGTAATTCAAGTTTATTTTTTCTTCCCATATTTTTTGGCGCTTTGAGCACCACAAGCTGAGTGCCATCTAGTTCCATTATATTGGAGAGAAGGCAGACATCTCTACGGCCGATATCTCCAACACTCTGCGGCTCACACCAAAACAATCTAGACTGATAAACAGCACTACAGGTAAGAGGAAAAATATGTGTTTCTGATTTTGGTGTGAACTGTCCCTTTAAACTATGTATGAGTGCTGTCTTTATTTCTGGTATTCAAAGCCATGTGAGACAGCGAACAGAGCAACTAAGAGGACGGATCATCTGAAGCCAAACTGCAGGTGCACTGCTAAAAAAAAAAAAGAAGTTTCTAACTGTACAATATATACAATATATAGGGGGTTGAGGATGTTAATAATTAGCATGCAGCAGTGTTTGCAGTGTTGGTAAAGTCTCTTCAGAGTCCTTTTTCAGTTCACAGTGTTTTGTCTCCGTGTACACAGATTAATAGTACAGACACCGAACAAAGGAAATGCCAGTGAAACGGCTGAATGGATGGTCAGGAGGTTATTCCAGAATATGAGATTGTTACTGTGCTGATGTTATGGTCTCAGTTTATTGTTGTGTAAATTGTGCATTATTTAGTTACCAGTGAATACATTATTTAAGCATTAATCATATGCCTTTAATTGTCATTCAACAGAGCATTATGTGCAACTGTGAGCGGGGGAACCATTCACAAAGCATGCTTAGAAGAGGATCAGTCTGAAAATAGAGACAGAGGGTCAGATTTTGACTTTACACACAAACACTTTGTTATTTCCAAACATGATGTTCTCAGTTATTAAACTGAAGCTGCTCTGTGAAATTTCCTCCCGGAAAGCTTGTGGAGCGGTGATTCACCTGAGACCATCAACTAAAGGAAAGGAGGCAGGATGCAGTGGAGAAAAAACACGCCGTCTTTTCTGTGGTGAGATCTGAATGAATAAAATGCTGTTCATTCACTGTCTCAGCCGCCGTGTCGTGTTCAGGTGTGTCAGAGGGGACTGTTGGGGTTTAGAGTGCAAATATAAATATATAAAACTATATTTATATACGTATATAAACCCTACTACTCACCCCATTTTGTAAGCGATCATTCAATTAATTCCTGTGTTTCAGAAAACTGCAAAAATGTTAAGCATGGATGAGTGAGAGGACAGACAAGACAACTGGAGACAATCACATCAAAACAAAGGAGTGAGAATCTGAGATGGGAAGAGCTGGTAAAGACAGTGACAACATACAACATGTTCAAAACTACTTAAAGAGTCTTATATGAGTATTTAAACAGTGCTCTTTAAACAGATGGAGACAAGCTGACCTGGAGGCTGGAGATGGCAGAAGGCGGGGTCATCAGACTCTGCTCCAATAAGGGGTTGAGAGGGGTGTTTCCTGGGAGGTGAGTGGCACGCCAGTAGACCTCCAGGTATTCAGCCAAATGCTCACATGCATCTTCAAGCTGGTTCTCATCCAAAATGACATCAAACATATCCTACAAGGCAACAAAAGAAAAAAAATCAAGGCTCTTGTGGTACCACAGGGTCATATCATTAAAAAATAACAACATAATTTATGACTGACTCCCAAGGTCATGTCATTGGTCCACCTTCCCGAGCCTCGAGCAAATATACAGTATACAAACTGTATATATACACATAGAGTTTCCGTGATAAAATTATCCCAGTGAGGACAGCTCAAGTGCAAACACTGTGTTTGTATGATTAGAACAAGACAGGCTGCGGTCGAATACTCTTTTTACTGACGAAGGTTCCTAACTGAGTCAGAGAACACTGAAGTATCTAAAAGGCAGCCATGATAGCTGGTCGAACTCTCTACATCATTGTTGCTCAAAGTGCGGCCCGTGGGCCAGTGGTGGCCCTCAGAAACATTTTATGTAACCTCCAAACATGAAATGAAATGCATGAATTCTGTTTAAATCAATCACAGTCCATTTCCTTCCTTCCTTTTCTTTCACTTTCTGAATCTTACATTTCATGCACCGCTAGGAGACACTGACATCTTGTAGAAAACTACCTCTTGCATGACAGCTATTGGCACCTCAGGAGTGTCGCAGGAATGTCCTTCTGTCTTCAATGTTAGTACCGTCAACCAAAGTTAGTGATTTTGGTGGGCAACTCACAAATCCACTTGTCTTGTGTCGCTGTCAATCATATGCCGGCTCCATAAACTGGCTCTAAAACTTTGAGCACTCCTGCTCTAAATGCAAAGAAAAGGTTCTTCAGTGCTTCTTTTCTTATCTTTTTTAGCATAGGATACACTGTATCATCATTTACATAAAGAAAGGAGCTAATGTCGTCGCACAATTCATTGCGGTGGTAACATTTAAAGTGACCAACATCAATAACATCCAGTGTTGCGTAATTACAGAGCCTTGTGTAACTGGAGCCGGATTCTCTTAGGACCATGGTTGTGTTTTCTTAAGTCCTAATGAATTGTCCGTCACATCTTTCCTTGACCTCATGACATTTTCAATCAAGGTTGAGAAAAGTGTTTAAGACATAAGATAAAGTATTTAAGACATAAGATAATTTAAGACATAATTTTCAACAGTCAACAGCCCTGCTAGCAGCTCAGTGAGACTGTAGTTTGACACGGCTGTATGTTGAGCTAACATGCTCAAAGTGACAATTCTAACATGATGATGTTCAGCAGGCGTAATGTTTACCATGTTCACCATCTTAGTGTAGCATGTTAGCATGCTAACATTTGCTAATTAGTACTAAACACAAAATGCATGTTCTTCCGCCATCATGGAGAATCTCACTATGCATTAAATGCACCTCAAAGAGACAAGGAGAGAGGAGGCTTCTAGAGGAGCATAGAGTGAGGGGACACAGGTGTAACCTACATGATAGTCTTTTATAAACTAGCGTGACTTGTAAATGCTGCACCTCAACATGTGGCACATTAACTGACGCTGCTTAAGACTGACACTATGGAACTAACAAGTTTCTCATTTGGCAGCTTCAGCTCCTTTGTCCTTGTGTCTTTTCCTTACATGTGTCTCTCACACCCTCACTGGGAGGAGCTCAGATGCGAGAAAGAGACACAAGTGAGGAAAGTGAGGAGACAAGCACCTAATGTTCGTCACAACCTGCATCTCTGTCCTCCAGCCACATTCTCACTTCCCCATACCTGTTCACAGCCATTCTCTACCTGTCCACTAGATGCCCTCAGACTTTCCCACCTTCCCTCACCTGTCCTGTAGTAACCCCTGCCGCTACAGTCACCTGACCTTCCACAGCCACATGCTCACCTGTTTCCACTTTCACTCATCAGACCTTTTCCACTCATTCCCTGTCAGATCGTCAGTGTTGCTTTGTTTTGTTATTTTTGAGCCTCTGTTATCAGAACCTGGACGTGAAAGTGCATCTGGTACATTGTTACCTGGACGTATATCTGAATCCTATCTGTACCTGCTGGTGGGCAATTTTCCTGGACCCATTCCTGCTGTCCTGTGGATTCAACACTTTGGACTTTTCATCATATGCCTGTAAGCTTATATACTTAAATTTTGGCAATAAATCCCTGAACTGTTTCTGTTGTTCTGCATTTGGTTCCTTTCCTCTGTGTGAATCAAATTTCACAGCAATCCATTCAGTGATTATTGAGTTATTTCAATAAAGACCAAAAATGTGAACCTTATGGTGGTGTTAAAGAAAAAGTCAGGGGGTCACCAAAGACAGAAGCCTTTGTCCTCTGGGCAAATGTCTGTATAGAATTTAATGGCACCTGATAGTTGAGGTACTTTAATTTGGACCAAAGTGAAGTTGGTGCTTCACACACAGCCCATCTCTTCCTCTTCTTCACCTTGTAAACATCTAGATTAGGAATAACCAAACATTCCAGCACTAAGAAGAAATCCCACACTCACAGGGGGGCACTGAGAGAGTTTGTCTGCAGCCATCATCTGCACATTCAGGTGCTTGCTCTGAGACTTCCCCCTGGATTTGACCAGCCTCTGGAGCACCTGAGAGAAAAGAGGTAGAGGTAACGTTAAAGGTGGAGGAACACAAGGCAGCCTGAATCTATGAGTGAGGTAACCTGCTGTACCTTTGGTGAGGAAACTTTCACGTAGACAATGATGGGTGCGAGGGAGGTTTTGGCTAGCTGTGCGGGATGGTTGATGGTGTCCGCGTCCAGAACCACCAGCTGCAGCGTTTTGGCGAGTTCGAATATCCTCTCAATCTCACTCTGAACCTCCGCTGCACAGACACATCAGGCTTAAGTTTAAACTCATTGTTTATGTATACCAAAAGATTTCAGGAGTTTTCATGATGGAATTAGTCACCTAGGCTGGAGCGCGTGTTGGATCTCTCCATGATGGGTCTTTTGTTGAGGACAGATCTCTTGGCTAAAGACAGGTCGGCAGTTACACGGGTGATTGAGATTCTGTAGCAAACACAGAGAGAAAAACGTGGTGAAACTTTTTGATTAAATTTATTAAAGGCCCGACTATCCACAATCACAAACATCATTCTGTAATCTCTCCATTTTACTGACCTTCCCTCAAATCTGTGTTTCAGGAAGTCAAAAAGAGCTTTCTGCATCATATCCGTCACCTGGGAGGAAGATAAGAGGTAAGAAACAGATTTTTTAAACACTGAACACAACCACAAATTTCAGAATATGACAATAAATTGGTCATGTAAACCATTTGGATGTTCCAAATTGGGCCTTATTCCAAATTTAGCATTTTCAGATGATGACGTGAGGGATATGCCGGTATTATTCGGGTTTTAGAAGCATTTTTTGGATGTGTATAGAGAACATGCAGAACAAGCGTCTCAACTGTGGTTTTAACTGCAGTTACATTGTACACAACCCAATTAGCCAACAGTTTGCAAAGCTTTGAGGTAGGGCTGGGCGATATGTCCTGCAAATCATATCACAATATTTTTCAGCTATATCTTGATACAGGATATGTCTCTCAATATTTTTAAGTCTTCTCAAAAGCACTTCATTAATGCTAGGACTGAGAGACAAAATCCAACATAACAATATTTCTGACCAAATACCCTCTTAGATGCAAAAAGTTGTAGAGATGACTAGTTGTTTTTTTTCCCCAGAAAATTTTAACAGGAGATTTTTGATAAATAATCATCAATAATGTGGATATAACAACTAAGTAGGTTAAGACAAGCGTTACAAAAATAGAAAAGTCTGATAAGTTGATTAATTGACATCACTTTACTGTAATGCAGCCTTTAAAATGAGGGGAAAAAACACAATTTTCCAAAATCTATGACAATACATAGTCTCATACCTCGAAAACGACATAATATCAACATATTGCTCAGCCCTGCTTTGAGGTACTGATGCATGCCCCAAAAAAGCCCACATTTTTAAACATTTTAAAAGATTTAAAAGATATTAACAGGTTTTTGGATATGTGCAAATAACATAATATCAACCTTTTCAAGAAGGTGGCTAAAGGAATGAAAGATTTAGGCTGTGTTTACAGAACAAGTCTGCCAGGGGTGGAAAAACTCAGACAACAGAAAACAGAATGCATTTTGTATGTAAACATACTGATTGTGTGATGATATTTTCAATTGTAATTTTCTAATAAGTTACGCATCTTCCAGGACATCATTTCTAGTTTTAATGTCTTGCGGTTGATCATAAAATGTCCATATACATTTTAGGCTACATCAGTATTAAAAAAAGGAATGAATAATGAATAAATACATTTAGTGTGATAAATGAAAGCTAATGTAATTTAGTAGAAGTATTTTCTCCCAAAATGTACTCACAAGAGAGTAAACAGTATACTGCGTTAAATCTACTGTAACAAGTATATTCATTCACTCATTTTCTGTAACCACTTATCCTGTTGGGAGTCACGGGGTGCTGGAGCCTATCCCAGCAGACATTGGGCGAGAGGCGGGGACACCAATTAAGCCAACCTGCATGTTCTTGGACTGTGGGAGGAAATCGGAGTAACTGAAGAAAACCCAGGCTGACACGGGGAGAACATGCAAACTCTGCACAGAGGTCTGCTCCCCAACCCCAGGAACCCTCTTGCTGTCATGGGGACAATGCTAACCACTGCCCCACCATGCCGCCAACAAGTATAACTGACCCCAAAAAGTTACATGAGTACATCTAACATCTAAAATTCAACGTCAAGAAAACTGTGTTTGCTTCTTGTCCATGGCCCTTAGTTAAATTTAAAAATGAATGGACAATGTATTAAACAGGTTTCAGAGGTAAAATATTTCCGCCTTATTTTAGATTCCTCAGTTTGAACAACATGCAGGAACAGAGCAGGAACAGTTTGAACTGTTAAAAGAGTCAGGCAGTCGTTTTGTGTGTGCTGGAGGTGAAACGGGGAGAGGCTGACCTCATAGCCCTTCAGCGATGGTCCCACGAGGACCACCGGCCTCATAGAGGGCACCACGTCGTAGGGAGGGACGTGTTCCTGCCAGAAATAGGGGAGGACGAGGGGAGGGGGACGAAGAACAGAGAGAGCAGCGGTGAGACATGATGGGGGTTGGGTTTGTTTGTTGTGAAAAGCTGAAAAAATAATATCAGGGTTTCTGCAGCTTACTAAATTAAACTGAATAATTTTTATTATCCCATAATATTAAATTTAATACCTTTTTCGTGACCATTAAAAAGAAAATCAGTTAGAACTTTAAGGCCTACAAATATCTATTAAGACCTGCAGATGCCCTGATAATGTTCCTTAAAGTCAAACGTCACAAAGTTTGTATTATAAACAAACACTATGTCATCACAAAGTACCAAACCTACCTGTTTTTGCTTCTGTTTGGCTTGTGAAACAAGAAAATAACAATCAATGAAAGGAAAAAGAAAACAGCAGAGGGAAAAGTTGGTTTTTATTCCAGCACTAATAGGAGACAGATTTGTAGTACTTACATTCACCTGCAGATGGCGGTGTGGTCCTCCAGCTCCCTGTCACCATGTCCCCTAAACTGGAGGAGTTACCTCCTGTTTTCCTGCAACAGCAACACACTAAATTATCAGACTTACATTGTGGGAACAAGTCCTGTGAGACGTTTGATACCATTAACTGACCTTTGTTTCTGCTCCTGTTTGAGCCTCATGGCCTCGAGTCGCAGAGGGCTGGGGATGAAGGTGATGTCTGCACCCTCTTTTACTAGCCGGCCGATCCACCAGTCATTATTATACTTCTGTTGAGTTCAACACGACACAACAGAACCGTGTCACACATATCTTGTTTTAATGTAATGGAAAGGGTTCATCAACATCACCACTCACTTCTTTGATGTGCAGGAAGTCTTTGGCATCGAAATTAACTGCAGCTCCTTGGACAGGACAGTCCTCATCCAGAGCTCCGCAGTAACTCACATTCGTCTTTACTGCAAACGCTACAGGTTTGGACTGAATGAGAAAACACTTGTTAGTGATGGAAACTGTGGTATAAAGGTGTGAGACTGTGTGAACCAGAGGTTTGGACTCCAGTCATGTGTCCGGTGGCTTCAGACTTGACTTTTGATTTGACTTGACTTGATGTTCTCCCCAAACCCAAAGATGAAAATTTACATTACAAATATAGAGTGCAGCAAATCAGCTCCTTATATTCCTGAAAACACATATACATTGATTCAATCTTACAGCAGCCAATCACATAGCACGAGCAGGAGGGAAAGGTGCACTGGACAGATGAGAACTTGGACTGTCACACTGGGCTATTGGGACAGTTCAGTGACCAACAACAATTGGACACCATCATGCCAAACATGAGGCCCAAAACTGAAAAGTTCAGTGAGCTTTGTTTGACATTTTTAGGCCACACAGAGTTGGTTAAGTTGAGTTTGGGACACCCTGAAATCTTGGTTTCACCCAGATGGGCAGGGTTTTGCAGGACCTAGCAGTACAAGCATTCGTAGGCTCTGTGACCATCTCAGCAGCCGGTGCTCTGAGTGCATGTTCGTACTTTATATCATAACCTGCACCTTTGTGAGAATGCAGAACAACAATGCTGAATTATTTTTGGTTTGAAAATTAGAATCTGGACTGTGTGTCAATAGATGGGCTATTTTTCCCCCCAAAACCTTGTAAAATTAGGTACACTTGCGGTCCATTCAGAATGGACCATGAGCCACCAGTTGAGAATCACTGCTCTAGTTTGTTCGACATCTGACCAGATATGTCCTTTAGGGGCAGAAACTGGTTGATATATAACGTGTGTCTGCGATGCTGTGATTAAACAGATCATGTTTTAGTTGTGTTTACATGCGAGTTGCTGGTTGAGCACTAACATGCAGTAGGAGGAGCTCAGTCTATACCCAGTATGTTTTGAGTGGGTTTAATACTGAATATTGAGAGAAGAATATTTGTTGTCTTTCATCTGTTGAAGGATCTGGTGTATGGTTGGTAAGAAATATCTGAAGGGGCGGGTGACCCATTAACTAGAGTGGTTGGGCACATACCACATGGGCGCATCACTGAGCAGGGAGTCCCTGGCTTGATTCCCAGTTGGCCGGACCGTTTGCTGCATGTCATTGTTCTTCTCTCTTTCCCCCTCACTACCTGTTTCTTTCTACTTTTACTACCGAAGAATAATGAAAAACAAAACAAAACAGAGGAGGTGGTGGTGGAGGGGAGTGGCTATATATTGAAGTTCTTCTGGAGCAGTAGAGGCCTACATGTGGCTCCAGACTTCACCTCTACATATTTTGACTCATGAAACCGTTAAAACACTACACTTTGTAGTTGTGTATGTCGCCATATGACGTACCTTAGCTCTGTCGAGCTGCAGTTGTGCCTGGCGCTCGGCTTCACGCCGATACGCCTCGCGGTCCTCCTCTGCTGACAGGTCTGAATCCGACGGTCTACTGGTGTACGAATCAGCCGACCCCTGTTGGGAGACATATTACTTGTAATTAATCATTTCTTACATGACGACCAACAAGTCACGTGAATATTGCTGAGGTGTAACACTAAGAGGTGGGGAAGGTAGATCTACTATTCCTGTTCATGCTTTCATCTGTCTCTCTGCTCTGCAGTCTTTGTGTGCAGGTGTGCATGCAAATACGTGTCTGTATTCATGAACACATTCATGTATCTCCAACACAATGCGTTGCTCTCCCACACCAGCCATCCTCTGGTAGACCAAATATAGCACAAAGGAGGCAACTGCTTCCTCTTCTTTCCTGCTTGGCCCCAATCCATTCCATCATCCCCCACAGTGCAGCACATATACATCCTCTCTTCCCCCTGTTTATTCTCCAAGGACGTCTCCTCATTAGGAAAATATATGCTAGCTATCATTTTTTATTATAAGAGGTTTGAGGACACATGCTAGGGGTGGCTGAAAGCGACAGATATAAGTACACAAAGAGACGCTTTACACAAAATAACAATGGTGAAAATGGCTCGACAGGTGCTGCTGTGAGGCTTTTACTCACAACCTGCGATTATTTAATGAAATGTTTGCGTCATAGCCTGTAGAGCTGAAACTATCAGCTATTTAACTGATTCTGATAATAATTTAAATCTTTTCTAAAGCCAAAATGGCAACAATTCCCTGATTCCATCCTCTCATATGTGAAGTTATTTTGCTTATATTTATTTTATATAAGGGTAAGCTGAACATAAACAGAAAACAAAACAACACCATGGACTCTGGAAAATTATTGTGGACATTTTGTTTTACTATTTTCTGACATTTTGTAGCCAAAACTACTAATTATTTAATCGAAAAATAAGATGGAATCAATGATACTGAATTCCAGAGAGAACATCGTGTAAAGGAGAGAAATATGAGGTGGTGATCTCGATGCAGTTTGGGTACTGTGTGTGTGTGTGTGTGTGTGTGTGTGTGTGTGTGTGTGTGTGAGAGAGCTCTCCTATATTTGGTATCTATTTGGCTTCTCTGAAGGAACTCAGTCCTGAATCTGTCAGTAAAAAGAACCGCTGCAGCAAAAACAAATCCAAGTCAGGCAACACAGAGAGAGAGGTGAGACAGAAGGCAAACAAGAAATGAAAAGCATAAAAGGAGTGAGACGGACAAGAAAACACTCACGGATAAAGGTAACCAGTATTCATGACAACACTTATATGTGTGACAAGATGATCAAACATATTCATCCAAAAAAACCAAGGTGTTAAGAAACTAAAAAGCAGCACATAATACAGTTTTCCCTTTGGTTTTCCTCTCCTCCAGAGTGCAGTGACTTAGTCCTGGTCATCCATCTTGCCAACATATACAAACGAATCCTCTGGAGGACCAATTAGCAACAGCACAACAAAAGGAAAATCAGGCTCCAAATACAACAAAAAAAGTGCCCAGACATGAAAAACAACCACCACCTTTAGCTTCCTCTGCACTTCAGAATGCATACATATAATCCAAAATATTTTTTTACCACCTCAAGCCCCCGAGAAAACGGCAAGCGAGCACCTCTCCTCGTTTATTTTGTGTGTGTGTGTGTCTATGTTAGATAACTAGATCTGATTTCTAGCACTCACAAGCTCTGCAAGGCAACACTGCACCAGTGCCAGAGCAGCACCGAGAGAGAGAAAAGGAGGGTGAGGAAGAAGAACGGGATGGATAGAAGGAGAGACAGAGAAAAGGAGGGGAGGGAGGATGAGGAGGAGGTGGAGGAGGGGGGTGAATATCGTTGACAAGATATACTGAAAAGAGAAGGATGTTTACGAGGACGGAGAGTGACTGAAAGATGGTTGGTGAGACGAGAGAGTGTATAAACGATTTATACGACAAGATAAAGCGAGGCTATCTCGAGGGGAAGATGAGATTAGAACATAATAAAATGCTATGAAAGAGTGGAGTGAGACCTAGATATCTATCCTCATCGCAGATAGAAGAAAAGAAGGGAAACACAGCAGGAGGAAGGACCATGAAGAGACAGAGACACACAGACAGAGACGGTCAGAGAGTTGCATACCTGGCTGATTAGGAGGACGGCGCTAGAGCCTGATAAAGACATGAATCTGATATTTTTTTTCTCACTGTAACGGCTTCCCTGTCTTCACTGGGAACGCGCTCAAACACACACAGACATAAAAGTGGAATAAATATGGTGGTGGGCGCGAGGGAAAGGCGTTATGTCAGAGAGCTGTTTAATGATGTTAGAACACAGAGAGCTGCCTGGGCTGTGATTGCTGTTCATTATTAATGTTTGGACATGAGGCTGTGGACCTCTGCTGCTACCTGTCAAATCCTAAAACAAAACAGTGTTGCCACCGATGCAACTGAGCAGGAAACAGTGTGTTTTGCAGGTGAAGCTGAGCTGCAATGCAGAGTGTAATGATCTGAGTACATCTTTATCGTCTGGTCTGAGGGTGTCTTGTTTTTTGTGTTTTTGTTTTTTTTTACTGCTAATGTCCCCGTCTGGGGGCTAAATTTAACTCTGTTCTTTCCTATTCTGCTTCTGTGATTATTCTTCACACACTGCAACACTGATGGCCTCAACTCCACAGGGAGGGGCCAACAAGGAAGTGTGTCATCCAGCTAGTCGAGTCCTCGAGAGGGCCAAGTCATCCTACGGTCTAGGGACAGAACAGCGGAGGATTTCTACAGTAATTCTATCACGATTTTACTGATACTGTGTTCGCTGGTTTCACAGTTTGCATTCAAATGTGTCCTAGTTTTCTTTTGGAAAGACATGTAGAGATGTCAACTGATTAGCCATGCTAGAGTATGCCAAAGAGCACCTTTTATTGCAACAATTATTGATCAAATTGTAAACAAAAGCTCAGAATGAAATACATTGATGGGTCTTTTAACACAAGGAATAACACTAGACCACAAATAAACCTGTTATTAATGTTACTAGCGCCTGTTAGGAACAGGCCTGCTCCAGTAACTTGGCCTCCTGTATTGCTGCTGGCAGCTTTCTCGAGAACTGCTCATCCACACGACTTCACACTCGATGCTGTGCTTCTTCGGGTCCTGAGCAATACACCTGCCACGACACAGTTGTGTCCCGTAGCAATGCTAGAGTACACGCATCATTTGTTAAAAGCTAACTATTTGGGAACAGACTATTCCTGGGAACAAAAGCGTTCTCAAAGTTACACTGCTGATGCTTGAAATGTTTGAGTTTGCTTCAGTGTAACATCTCTGGTCTCTCCTTTATCATGTTTTTGAATGTACTGTAGTGAGCAACGTAGAGCGAGCTGTTCGGCGGTGTAATAGTTAACAGGGGTCCCCAAACAATACACTTCAACAGTTGTGCTCAAACTTTTTCAATAATGCCTGCCTGTTCAAAGTGGGAATATAGCGCCATAATGCCGCCTCGACATTCTTTATAACTATGGTTGGGTAAAGGGAGGAGCCGGGAACGGAGGCAGTAACAACCCCGAAACGAGGTCTGTATAAAATGTAAAGGCAGAAAGTTGTGACCATTGGTGGAACGGTTGTGACACATTTGATTTGGCATTATGTTGGTGACCACCCATGGGAGATTAAAAAAGTAGCTGTTAGCAGTTAGCGGCTATAAATGTCCACAAATCAGGACAACAATGAGATTTGTGAGCTCCTTATCCTCTGAGCAGAGGAACAGATCAGCTGCCATATAACGGAGAAAGTAAATGGTTGTGATTGACATATTATACCATTGTTTTTGTTTAGAAAGCACTGCCAACATGTTATATATCACACTAGAGGCCGACGCTGTTGTGTTACATGTATACGCCTCTTTTGATTGTCGATTGTTGCCGCGATGTAGTGTATAGTCACACACACACACTCTCAAGAGCTCGCACAAGACATTACACTTCCTTGGGTCCTCAGCAATACACACACCAAGCGTGAAGTTGATCAGATTAATAATTGTCAAGAACATCAAAGGACAAACAGACAGAGACTCCCTCCATTTGAGTTAGATTAAACCTGAATTCATTGATTTGGGGGTCACTAGGGGGCAGCAAAACATGCTGTAAACACAACACTGACACATTATAACCATATATACCAACATTTGTACAGTACAGTCAGTTTAATAGGACTTTTTTTTGCTGATAACAGCTGCCTGTTATGGCTGAAAACAACCATGTCCAGAGCAGTGAGAGTAAAACAAATCAGTAAAATTAGGAAGTCAAAAACAGACTGTATGAATAATGGACGTAGCTACTGTGACCTCAACAATTGGTTTGTGGACTCCTATTTTGAACCTGCGAGTTTGCCATCTTGTTTTTTAGGAGCCAGATGTGACCATATTTGGACAAGTGGGTGGAGCTGCGGAGGAACGAGGGCCGGATCTGACTCATAGACTATAGTTACGCTTTGCAAACAGCCTGTTATGCAAGTGACTCCACCTTCCTATAGGCATAACTTTAAGCCTTTATAAAATGTAACAGGTGAATTATATAAAAATCCCCCACCCCCCGTACACTTGTCATGAATGTAGAAATTAGCAATGGAGACCGAAACTGTTATTTGCACCAGGCTGTAAACATGTTAATTTCCGCTGTAAAGATGGGCATTTTAACATGGGTGTTTATGGAGATTGACTCACTGCTGTAGCCAGCCTCATGTGTCTTTCAAGGAACTGCCGTTTTTGGCACTTCAGGTTGGCTTTTATTTTTCAGCCCTGGTGGTTGCAGCTTGGTGAAAAAATCATAATAATAAGCTGAAAGACACTGAAACCTTGAGTCTGTTGCAGAGTCCGGTTTTAATACTTCTGGGGTTTATCATTATGAGTGACTCCTTTCTCATCACACAGTGATTTGATCTATTGTTAATGTAAATATATGGAAATCCTTTCATTTATAACTCAAACTATTGATTTAAAAGTAAGTACCTCCCATTGTCACAATCAAAATGTTACCTATTCAACCAAAAGCAGCAGATGTCGACAGGTTTGGGTTGTCGTCATTCAGTTAGTAACTCAC